CACTTGAAATTTACACCAAATGTTTATTTCATCAATTCATATACTTGATAAAACTGCCAAAATATTTTGACTCGTTTTAAGTTGTTGATGGACATTTTAAATTAAAATTTTTTTTTTCTATAAATGTCAATAAAATTTTATTGGTTTGGTCAAAAAGCATAAAAGTTTAATACAAAACTCTTAATAATTTGTTACAATAGCAGTTGAAAAATATTAAGAATACATAGGCACGATTTTTTTTTTATAGGTATTCAAAGTTCACATTTTGACAATATTTATGAAATTGAAAATTGAAAATGATTTTGTAACTAAAAATGTAAACAATTTTCAATTTTTACAGCTAAGGATTAAAAATTTAAAACAAGCTTCCACTTAAATAGTTTTTTCCATAACTAAGAAATCTAAAAAATATATGAAGACAGTATTTTTTTTTACAGATATTTTAAATTCAAATTTGGACGAAATTGCATATTAACACAAAGAATAACGTTCATCATTTTTTTGTAATTCGGTTTCAAAACAACCCAGTTTATATTAGTATATTTAAAATATTTCTTCGGCATCACTGATAATTTAAGAATAATATTAATTCAACTTACGGGCTACCATATTAATAATAAGTAATAACAATATAAAATATTCTACACTGACCCTACCGTCTCCGCTCAGAATCGTTTTTCGTATGCAATGGTTTGATATCATTGAGTTCAAATTTAATACCCTCCATTACAGTGACCTCTTAGACGTCTTATGTTCAGAAGAGCGACATACTTAACCCCCCTTTTTTTTTTATACCTAATGATATTCTAGACTATTATTAGTCTACAAATTGATCAATAATTAATCAATTACGATCATAATACATTATTTTAAAAATAAAAACTATTAATGAAATAAAAGATGGATTCGAGGTTTAAACCAACTTAAAAGTTAAATTTGAACTTTACTAGGCATAGATAGTGCGTAGATAAAACCAGGCATTCATATACATTTTCGAGATTTATATTTTAGTTGTTATAGCATTTTATTATTACTTACTCTTATTACTTTTTATATTTAAATTTTAATATTATTATTAATTGTTATTAGGTAGGTATCTGTGAAAGGCATTCAATTTTCAATTCAAAGCGGTTGGTCGATTATTTTGCCTAACAAGTTAAATTCCTAAAGTTACATAATAATTGTGTTTGAAAAGTATTAAAGTGTTTAAATGAACTTGACATTTGTACTTAATCTTTAGACTCATTATATTATTTATATAATTGTACATATTGTATTTGTAAAAAGAAAATAGTTTATTGTCTGCTTAAATGTACAGCTACGACACGATAATTGCAATAAATGCTACATAAATTTCAAATTAGAAAGTATTAAGAATCACGACATCCAATTACCTATCAAGAAATGTTTACAATTAGTTTACAGGGCAGCTTATATACGATATTACAGGGTTGAATAAATCAAAAACAATTTAAACAATTAATTTGAAAAGTTAAAATTGATGCACGCTAAAGAAATACATTTTCAATGGTCAATGTCCCAGTTTTATCAGTCATTTTCTGATTATATCTATTTTGATTGTACATTTGATACTTTGATTATTCTAGTCATTTTTCGGTAGTCATTATTTATCTTAGATATACTAACTAGTGTTTCAAATAAATAATGAAATCGCTATGTAAAATGTCAAAAATATATAAGGAATAAATACCAAGCGTAATACAATTTTTAAAACTTTCATAAAAACAATTTCTAATCATTTCTTTACGTTTGTGTGCCATATTTAATTAATTTTAATTTCTCTCGATTCTCACTATAAAATATCTACAAAATAAATTGTTGAAAATGAAATATATTATAGTGAACTACTGAACTAGTTGCAGATTTATACTAGGTTTCGGATCTATATTATGTAAACAAATGTATAATTAACCAACTTTGACAAATTTTTAACAAAATGTGATTCCTCTATTTTTAAATTTATTTATTAGATTTCAAGTCGACTAAATCATTAATTAAGTTCTTTTGATTACATTGGTTTAGTTATATGATGCGTTTGTATTGTAAAATGTAGTTAAATATATAATATGTTTATAAATAACAAGATTGGTTTCATTTAAAATATTTCCGTGTACGTATTTCGTAATAAACACATAATTTTAAAAAAAAACTATAGTATAAGTTACATATTTAGCAAATAATTGCCCTGTGGGGAAGTGGTAAAGCGCAAGTAATAAAATATTATAATACAATTTTCAAAAGATAAAATAGATTGTGTTAACGCAGCATTTTCTAGCTATTTCAGCAGTTTCTATTAAAAAATCAACCAAGCTAAAGCAAGATGGTATAAAATAATTAATTTAAATAATATGTATAATATTATATTTAAAAAACTATCAATTTTGGATTTTCAGGTTAAGCAATATAACTACTAAAAACACGAGAATGAACTTAGTTAAATGTTTAGGTCTCATATAAGCTGTACAAATATGAAACATTGCAATCAAAATTAAGAACAAGTTAGCTATTTGTAATTTATTTATTTTTGATGTCATGTGTTTTGAATAAGTACGAGGTACATAACGTATTAATATACACCTAAATATTAATTGTACTTACCATACTCAATGTTTATGTTTATATATTATTATATTTATAAGTAAGTATGTAAATTTGATAAATATGAAAGTGTTGGGCTGAGTATAAGTGTCTATACAATATGTTATAAATGTATGAGCGTTATGTTTTGAACTGTGCAGATAATATTTCAACTTGCTAAGAAATTTGAGTCATGTGATCGTCGTCCTGGTACTTAACATATACACGTATAAATGGTTCATTAAACATAAGAAGATATTACATTATTAATTATAATGAATAAGTGTAACGAAACAATTGTCTCTCGTCAGTCAGTCAACGTTATTGACGTCATATTTGTTACAAACATAACCTACATAGAGATCTACAAAATATGTTTGTTAATGTCCTTGCCAAACTTTATTACAGAAGCTTTCATCTCAAATTAATTTCTGACACCAACCCTTTAATAAAAAATATGGCCTCATTTTATATTTCTTATAATCCTCCTCTAAAAACGTAACTGGAATTTCGATTTATGAAATTAATAAATAAATAATTTATTGATGCAATTTATAATGTACCACCATAGTTACTTATCGTATAGATTGCATAATATTAAAAAAAGAAATTTTCACAGTAAAAAAAAAATACTTTGTTGTTTATTTGTTTTTAGAAGTGATATGATAAATTTATTATGATAGCAAATGTTACTGGAATTTAGTCTAAATAAAAGTGTAATTAAAATCGAATTTGTTTTCGAACATTCAATGTTTAATGACTATAATATAATCATTGATATTTTGTTTTCTTATTTTAATAATAACATAATTGTTTTTTTAATTGTATTATAATTTTTAATTGTTCTATTTAAATAAGTAGAGGTATGTATATTGAATGGATCTTAGCATGACTAAATATTTTTAATCATGTCGTTTGTTGATGACCCATATTTCTAGAAAATACCACTGTTGTTTAGATTAAAAGATATATAAAAACACATGATTAGAATAATAATTGATGCTGTTGATCAAACATGCTAAAATAACATGAGTTTTTGAAGTAGAATATACGTAAATATCCCAATATTGATCTAAAATACTAAAATATGTCGAGTTATTCAATATTCTTTAGACTCATAACATCTATAAATAATTAAATTTGTAGCTAACATTGGCATTATACATTATGAATAAATTCTAATTTCCATTTTCCATTTTCCTAAATAAATTGTTCAATTTGTTTGTGATAACAGATTGAAAATTTTTTATAAATAATAAATAAGTGATAATTTCATTTAATTAACCATACAGCTGATTCAGGAATATTGAGAGACTAATAGAGAGAGACAGATATTGATATCTGTGTTTTTTTTACAACATATTGTACAAATGCAACAATGAAATATTCAAACTATCAGAAAGTTATATTTTTCTATTGTATGATCCCATAACCGAATTTTATCAAAACTTATGAGCTATTAGGTACTACTTGCATTATTCTGCATAGACCCATAAACAAAATCAGAAGTCTGCAGTTGTAACTCAGATTTAAAAGATGAATTGTTAATGTACATTACTATTTTATCTACTATATTTTAATGCGAAATTCTTTATAACTAGATATATATAATAGTTAGGTACCATAGGTAAGAATAGGCACGCAAATTTGAAATCTATAATTCAGTTTAAAAAACTTTGTGATGGTACAAATTTACTTTAACCTTAATTCTAATGAGAAAACATGTTTCACTTTGCTTTGTTTTTTCAAAGAAAAAATACTGAAATATAATAGTTCATTATTCTTGATTACCTATTTAAAAAAAATGACAGTGTCGAATAATATATTGAACTATGATTTATAAAGTACATTATTTTCAAAAATTTACACATTGTAATATTGTATTAACTATGTCTGATCAAACAAATTACACAAATTTTAAAGTTTTATAAATTTAAAAATGTCACATGAATAAAAAGAAATATTTTAATCAATATTATTTGTGTGTGTAGTTAGGTACCAAAGAATACACAATTATTTTAGAAGTATCGTATTATTTTAGATTAAAATTTTTTTTCAGTGTTTTCTGTTGTATGCAAGTGAAATGTGTGTATTGAGGTTAAATTGTTTGATTAAACATGATATAGATACTTACGTACTAATGACATACTGTTGGGATTTTTTTGTGAGATTCATATTTCTTCCTGTTACCCAAATACTGATATTTTTTTAAATATTAAAACTCAAATAACTTAAATATTTATCAATTTCCAGTTTCTACAGACAACCATCGCTATTTTGAAATACTCGTATGTAGGTATGGTAAAATTTAGACGATTAAAACTTATTTATAAAGTGCTGAAAGAATTCTACTGCGATCTTTTATATTAACTAAATAGTTCTTTAAGCTAAAAATGTACTACCTCGATTGCATTGTGATCTCGAGAACAAGAAGCAATTGGACTGGGATAATTGAAACGTGCACGATCGGGATGCAGATAAACGGAACTAAATCGTCTTGATGTCGATGGACCCGGAACGTCGTACATATCAATTGTGGATGAACTGCAAGGTTTATTCGCCTTTTGGGCTGGACTTGCCTAAATAAACACATAGTAAAATACTACATTATAACATAACATTTTTTTGTTTCTTATAGTTTACATCCATTAGGTTTGTTTGACAACAGCCTTTACTCGTTTTCAACAGTTAAAACTATATGATTCAAAAGATAAGTTAAACTTTGCAGTAGTTTCTGTACAAGAACGATGATATAGTCTCTTTTCTCTCTAAATAGTCACCTGGAAGGAGACAAACGTGCGTAAATAGAGAGAAAGGGATAGAGAGAGAAAGACAATAAGACTGTAAGTGGGAAGGTTTGTACACTGCCACTGTAGGTACATCCTTATAATAGATACGCATATGTGTATTTACGTGTCGACCACTATATCAATTGCTAGACCTACAAATTTAAATTGAATCAAACTAATTTCCAGATATTCTTATGCAAGGGGAGACTGATTCAATACAAGCAACTTTCCAAAAAATTACTCTTGACTAGATTTGTGAGGTTGTTAATACACCTCTGAAAATGCGGGCTCATAACATACAATTATTTTAAGTACTATTTTAGATTATTTTACGTAGTTTACACTACGATTGACTGCACTTTTTAATTAAATTTATTCTAGTTTTGTTAAAATATTTTCAACATATGGTATCAAGTATTTGAGGTGATTACCTGTACAGATTCGATCCCAGAATCTCCGCTTTGCATAATGAGACTTTGTTCCTTAACTCCGAAATTTGGAGTATCAATGTTCTGTTTAGTAGACCACAATGGAATCATTTGTATGGACGTTTCATCTTTCGTTATTTTTTCATCATTGCCGTTATAATGTGTATTACTCATTTCAATTTCAATATCAGGGAACTTCTTTTTCTTCGATCTATCCCATTTCATTTTATTCTCCATCAATGGAATCTGAAAACCAAATAAAATAAAAAGTATACTATATATAAATCAATGGCGATGATAACAGAAAAAAAAATATAAAAATAAAAACGATAATTATAATAATAATTTTTTGAAACAAGAGTCACGACGATGAACATCCGAAAAAAAAATTTACAATAAATATTAATATAAGCCAACTGAACTCAACAAAAAATATTCCACATTTTCTTAGAATCAAAATTATTAATACTAAAAAAAAATGGTTGGTACATTGCAGTGTTTGTTATCACTTGTAGATAATATTTACACATAGTGATATGGAATTTTTCAACAGTGCTTTCGATGACGTATAAGATGCATATTACAAATATTTCATATCATAAACATACAATAATTAGAAAATTTTACACTACTAGTATTCTCCTAAAAATCGAATAACTTTTTTTTTTCACCAAGATTTTTGAATTTCATACAGTTCTCATGGACGTGAAATTCTTACCGATATTAGCGTTACATTTAGTCAGTTTAGCTCACTACTATTAGATTCGTTATATTGTCAAAACTTAATATTATGATATGAGGTCGACTATTAAGCTCTTCTATATCAAATAGCGGATTATATAAACCCTATTTTTTTGTAAAAAATTGATTCTATCAACATAAATCGTAGACAAATTCAATGAGTATTATAAGCAAAATTCGAAAACAGTCAAAGTATTTTTGAAATAATATCATGTCTATAAAATGTTGATATAGGTAATAATTAATATTTTATGAATATTTTAAGTACCTATCTTCGGTTATTCGTTTTTCAATTACAGAAAATTACGGAATCGAGAATTTAATTTAAATTATTGTAAAATCATAGCTCATAGCTCCATTGAAAAAACTAAAAAGTCTGATAACTGAAGATAAGCTGGAATACTAAGGAAGGTGTTATATACTAAAAATATTTTTTAAATCACCATTGTCAATGTATTATAGTCATATTTTTTAACCAAATAAGGTTAGGTATTGTTTAAATTTTCCTTAATTTTTCCAAACTATCTATAAGGGTCGGGAACCTGCGGCTCCGGAGCTACACGTGGCTCTTTGGAAAATGCCCACTAATATTAAGTAGGTACGTTTTTTTTGTGTGTTATTGTATTTAATTAAATAATATTATATTTGTATAAACAATAGTAATAATAATAATAAATAAATGAAACAAAGTTTTTCTATATTTTCTGAATGTAAGACGTATCATTATGTTTTCAATGCCTACCAATTTTTCAATGTAATAGCAATACTGTCTTTATTCTAATATTCTATAATATATTGTCTATACTAACAACTACAACTAAAATAGTAAAATAAAGTTTGTTCAAACCTGTGCTGCTCCCTGGACATCATGGTTTTGTAATTTTTCGAAAAAATGGCTCTTTCTTACGAAAAGGTTCAAGACCCCTGATCTATAGTGATATATATTAGGAAGTTAAACTATTTTAATGCAAAATCTTCTTGGCTGTTTTAAATTTTAAAAATTCATATAATACAATAAAACAAAATAGTAACAAAGAAAAAATATAACTAAACAATGGAAATGGACAATAGTAATGTTAAACCACAATTCTCTGCAAACATAATATAGTTGCCATCACAGTGACAGTGGAAAAATCTTATCGTAAATTCGGAACTCCGAAATGATAATTGAAGTATAGATATCAAACATATTACGTCAAATATAAGTGGAAAGATCAAAAGAAAATTGAACTTACAGCCAAGTGCGAGAATAAAATGTAACTAGAGAGTTTAAAGTTTGAACATTAGAGTTCACTTAAACATCATTTTCCGTTATCAAAGCTTTAAAATGATCTTTAAAAATGTATATTTTGAAGTATAGTCATAAAGGTAAATGTAATTATTTTGAGAACATTTTTCTGTAAAAGAATTGAAGTACTTACTAAGTTCTAAGAAAAAAACAATTTCAATAGGCATTTTACTGAGGATGGATTTTCAATACGATTCTCAGTCTTTGTGTAGAGTTGGTGATTTCTAAATGCATATTGCTTTATAGGTACTTAAATATTACTTTAATATGAAATACGTATTATAATATATGTCATTCTCAAAATGATGCCAATAACTGAAAATATTTTTTTTGTTGTTAGATTTGAATTCAATTGGTTCTTTTTAGTTTTTATGCATATCTTAATTATTAATTTAACCATTATTTCCATCACTTATTTAAATTTAAATTAATATTTTGATATTTATGAAATATTAAATAATTCAGTCTTAAATATAATGTTCAAATTTTAACTAGTCGAAAATGTGAAAACAGAAATCGATATAAATATATCACTGTATATTCGATGCCTAGAAACAATGGTTAAAAACTAAAATATTATAGGAAAATAATTTAAATAGCTAGCACAAGGGGTAATAATATTGTATTAACTACTATTTTTTTTTTCTTCACTTTATGAAATATTTATTTTATTTATTATTTTTTAATTTTTTTTCAATATCGAAATGCACTAAAATAGTTAAAAGTTTGTTTTTAAATTTGAATTTGTAAACGTTATTAAGAAAATTATGTTATTAGATTTTAATTTAATTTGTTTGTATTTTATTTTTATTTGTGATTTCTTAGTTATTTTTAATTATCAGTGAATAATATGACGTAATAATATTAAGTTAATGAAACAAAACTTTGATATTACAACAAACTATATGAATCTTAATAATATTAATTTATATTGATGTAATAATACAATAATATTTTTTTTTTATTGATCTTAAGCTTCGGCAACTGAGGCCCTTAGCTGTAGTAGGATTTGTATTGTAGGTTTTGGGACGGTAGGGGTAAACACGTGTGTGTTTGTTTTTGGCAGAATTTCGAATGGGGCACCCGTAGGTTTCTGCCATGCCCCGGGGGTGGGGGATGGCAGCACTTGTTCTCCGGTCACCGCGACTTGTCCGGAGAAAAATGCCGCCCGGTTGCCGAGGATCGAACCGCGACCGGCTGCGTCGCAGCGGACGCATCAGACCACTCTGTCACCTCATCCCCCACAATAATATTATATGACGTGACCTTGCTTAATATTTTTGGGTTGGTAAAATGTCTACACCATTAAAAAGGATCATCGAAAAAAAAGAATTTTTTCAATATCGGAAATTTAAAAAGTATTAATACCTGAATATTAATATAAATACATTCTGTAGCAATTAATAAATTAGCGATAAAATGCAGCTTCTATCATTGTTAAAATGAATTGGTCATGATGCTAACCTAGCAAAATTGCAATTCAAAATAAAATCATGTCAACATTTTCAAAGTAATTAAGGTAAATCAAACTTGTTCTACAACATTAAAGTACTACAATTAACTAGTCTTTAAAATCCACGAATTCATTAAAGGATTAAATTTAGATTTATTGGTTTTCCATTGATAATTTTTTCTTTTATTTGTTTTGTCCGAGATTATCCGAAACAGATAGATAATATCTACCCTCTCTAGGTTTCTAATTTATTTAATCAATCATGGGATGAAATGATGTTTGAAAGGGGACACATTATAAGGATCATTTTTAGTACTTTCGAAAAGGAATATATACAACTCCATAGTAATTTTTTATAAATGTCAAAATCGTCACAAACATATTAAAGTGTAAGTCAACATTCTTACATTTTTAATGATTACTAAATGCAGTATACCATGGAAACAAAATATACTTAAATTAAACATTTCCAGCATTCGGGCAACATATATTTTGTTTAAACATTTCAAGTTAGTTATTTTTTTTTAAATTTATAATTGACAATATAAACTTCTATGACCTATATTATTGAATATAATATAATTAACCACATTAATGTTATGTTGTTCTAAATAGAATTAAAAATCAATCACAATGTAACGTAAGAACACTAAAAAAAAAAAATGTCATCACCTGAAAAGTGTTTCCAAATAGAGTACAGATATTAGTTAATACGTAAATATAATTAACATGTTTTTTTTGTGATTATTGTAAGTACCATTTTTACATTAAAATAGTTAATAATAACCATAACTATTATAATAACGAAAGTTTAATTCTTTTTTGTATACTTTGTAATTTTATTCTTGTCACAAATCACTCAGATATTTAAATTACAACTGTGATGGTACTGAACTTTCAAATAAAAACATGGTCTTCTTCACGTAATATAATGCTTCAGCGTATAGTCAGGAAATTAATTTTCATTATTCTCTACTATTAAGATATTTTATTATTATTTTAGGTATAATAAGAAATTATTTAGGTAAAAAAAAAAGGTTTTTCATTATTAATAATATATATTTATAACTGTAATATGCACACACGTATGACATAAAAGTAATGTTGATTTTATATTGAATTACTAAAATATGATGAACACATGTGTAATTGATTTTAACTAAAGCCAACACGTATGGCGTATCATTACACAGGGTGATACAACAAGTATGCTCACCCCTTTTTTTCTTTAATAATGAAGTTTTTCAAAATCCGATATTTGGAATCTTTAAATATATTCAAAGATCATATTTTCATAGTCTTGAGATTTTTTGTACCACTTAAGGAGTGTCCTGTACTCCTGTGGCGATACAAACTTTTGTTTTTCAAATGGAAACCCCACTGTTTCACTGTAAATTATTTAGTGGACAATTTTGTTGAGAATTTTGTTATACTGAAATCAAAATTCGAACGAGTAGTTTTCTAGTTATTACACATTTTGTGCTAAGGATAATATAGTTTATAATAGGGAAGAAGCATATGATTATACTGCAGTATACGTTGTTATCTATAGTATATATACATAATATAAAATAATACGTCATTTTATATTTATTTAGTCTAACACTTAGGTAAATAGCAAGTAAAATTCTTCTTGATTTATTTGGTTATTTTTCTTATTCCATGTGTAAAACTGTATAAGCATATCCCTATTATTGACTATTATCCTTAGTACAAATTGTCCAATAACTAGGAAACCACAAGTTCAAATTTTGATTTCGTTAC